TTCTTTTGGAAGAATATGCTTTTACTTCGTTAAGCTTAATGATCTGTTTATCCGGTGCTATTTATCATGATATTTCAGGTCTGATGCAGGTCTACATTGTTTCATTTGTTAATTTTGTTTGTTTGCATCATTCTTTTTTATGCTTGTAGTTTTCTACTAGTCGTCGTAGTTCTTTCCACTTTCTCTTTAACTTGTGGATATATGCCTGCTTTTTCTTATGTTTTATTTTAAATTCTGGCCTGGTGCAGAAAGAATTGATAAGAACTGTCGACCTTGGTCCCTTCAAGCACATTGTGGATGATGGTCTCGAGCTGAGGAAGGCAGCTTTTGAATGCGTAGACACATTGCTGGATAGTTGTCTTGATCAAGTGAACCCTTCATCTTTCATTGTCCCTTTCCTCAAATCTGGACTTGATGGTAAGTTGCTCCCCCTTTATATTGTGGTTACAAACCTTGTGTACATTAGTCGTTATATTTAGTTGAGTAATAATTAGATGATTTATTATACCAATTAACAATTTTGTTAAAGCAGAGGATAGTTTTATCATGGGTTGTACCTGAAACCAAGATCTGATTAAAATAAATTAAATTATTATGTCTTGAATTATTCTCTGGATCAAAAGCTCATCTTTTCTGGTCATGCACAAAAATCTTAATGCAACAGTTACAGGGTATTAGGGTTATTTGGCTGAAGATAATACATTTTTGCCTTAAATCATTTAACTGACTTAGATTTTTCACATTTTGTCAGACCATTATGATGTTAAGATGCCTTGCCATCTTATCCTTTCGAAACTTGCCGATAAATGTCCATCTGCTGTATTACCAGGTGAGAGACGAATTGGGTTGTCTTAACTGACGATCCAGGACTGTTTTATTATCATTGGTTTAATCGTCTGTAATTTGATATTCAGTGTTGGACTCACTGGTGGACCCTCTTCAAAAGACTATTAATTTTAAGCCAAAGCAAGATGCTGTCAAACAGGAAGTAGATCGTAATGAAGATATGATCCGTAGTGCTCTGCGTGCAATTGCATCATTGAACCGAATAAGGTTTAGCATTTCTACACATTACACATGATGTTCCCCCCCCCACTTTCTACTCCATTTTAGTTTATGATTTTGGTTTGCTGAGATGATTTGTCTAATATTGCAGCGGGGGAGATAGCAGCATGAAGTTGAAGAATCTGATGAGTGAAATATCGAAATCCCTAACATTGTGGGACAAGTATTACTCCATCCGGAATGAGTGAGGTGAGGAATACTAATCGTGTAAAGTAGGGTTAGGGTTTGATCCGATTGGATTTATTATATCGGAAACCAGGGGAGCATTGTTGTTGTGAAAGAATATAACTGTTGGATTTTGGCTCATGCTTGTTTCTATATATCCGATACTATTTTGGATCTTTATTCCCTCAACCGCTCGGCCTGAAATTTAAGCGATGATGTCATTACCAGTTGGGCTTTTTTTTAACCCCTATTACCCCGACTTCAAGGCTGAATTGCTGCTTGGCATGGGTTATTTGTTTAATTTATTTTGAGGTGATTATTTTTATTCATTTTAATTTGATCCTCCACGTGCACAAAAAATTATAGGCAAGAAGGCACTTGAGGTCCCTGAACTTTCCAAAAAAACTCAATGTAGTCTTTATTTTTTTGGATCAATGTGGCCCTCTAAATCGAAAAAAAAAACCAAACGTGATCCTTTAACCCATGCTTTGTTAATTCTTTACTTTATAAATTAGGTAAATTATATCATTCATCATTTAACTATTTTCTTCTCTTCTGTTTTGGTCACTAAACTCTTAAAAGTTTTAAATTTCAGAAATTTTAGAGACTTCATGGAATAAACTAGTAGTTAACCCATTTTTTTTGAGGGTAAACTATGCAAATGGCCACTTTTGTTTCGGGTGAATTGCTAATCATGGGTTTTTTTTGTAAACCTAAAATAATCCAGGAATAAAATAACAATTATCCTTTTTTTTCATATGTTTTCTTCCTCAAATCTATCTTCTACGCCGAGCCGATTCCTCTGCTTCGTCTCTGAACCACTGCTTCAACAATTCTACAATAACATGACGAGGAAGCCAATGAAGACCTAAGCTTGACAATTGTTGAGAAAGCACTATTGGTGAAAGCTGCGAGGTTTGATCAAGGAAACCATGACGCTGCCGATGACCCAGGCGTTGTTTCTGTGGTGGACATGACCTTTCATCTTCACTCGTGGGATTTGATAGAGCTGGTACCAGTGGTGTGGGTGAAGAGGCGGATTTGGATTTGAAATGTAAGAAGAGTGTTAAAAGGAAAAAGAAGAAAACGAAAGTTGAAATTAAAGTTTTTGCTGCTTTTTTCTTCTGTAGTGATTCTTATGATCAAATGTACTGCTTGAGAAGTTAGTTTTAGCTGAGTTTGATATGAAAAATTGATTTGTATACTACATAGAATTGATGAGATGATACAAGTTGAGAAATCATTATTTTGTTGAACTTTATGATGTTAAAGTGCTACGAATTTAGATAGAAGTTGGAATTTATGATGTCTATTTCAAATTAGGATTCTCATTGCTTGCGTTGCTACGACAATTTGAATTCCAGCTGTCCCGCTTAGTTCTTTGTTCAAACTATGTTATTGAAGAATTGTTGAAGCAGTGGTTTTGAGACGAAGCAGGGGAAGCGGTGCGGCAGAAAAGATAGATTTGGGGAAGAAAAATTTATGGAAAATGGGGTAAATTGATGTTTTATCCCTTAATTATTTTGTTACAAAAAGATCCATGATTAGCAATTTACTCCTCAAACAAAAGTGACAATTTGTGTAGTTTACCCTTAAAATAAAATAGGTTAACTACAACCTTAGTCCATGAAGTCTCTATAGTTTCCAAAAAAACTTTTAGAGTTTAGTGACAAAAATAGAAGAGAAGAAAATAGTTGAGTGATGAATGGTGTAATTTACCCAATTTATAACAACATGAATTAACAAAACCATTGGTCAATGATAGACAGAAAACGTTGGTCAAATGACCACATTGGATTCTTTATTCGAGTTGGAAGGTCACATTGATAAAAAAAAAATAGGATGATGGCTACATTGGTTTTTTCTTGGAAAGTTCAGGACACTCGTGTGTCTTTTTGCTAAAATTATATAACCCCAAACTTCAAACTATAAAGCCTAAACTTTAAACTACCAAACATCATATCCTAAACCTTAAAATCTAAACCATAAACATAAACCTCAAACCTTGTCTCTTAAATCTTAAATCATAAACTATAGACCTTAAATTCTATCCTCTACCCTTTAAAGGCACAAACCCTAAACTTTAAACCCTATATTTAAAACCACAAAGCCTAAAGCCTAAATTGTAAACCATAAACTCTAATTCTTAAACTCAAATATAAAACTATAAATCATTAAACCTTAAACCTTTAAATCATAAATCTTAAACCCTAAATTAAATCCCTAAATTTGAAATCAGAAACTCAATTCGAAATCCCAAAACCACTAAACATTAGACTTTAACCCATTTTAAGAGTTTTAAGACTCCTTTTCAAAAGTTAAAAAACTTCCTATATAAGTAGTCATTTAATGTGTGAATTTATTACTTCAAGCTTCTTTCAACCTCTTAAATAGTTAGAAATCAATGACAAAATATTAAAAATGATATTGTATCAGTCGTGAATTAAAAAGAAAGTTATTCAAAATATCAAAGAGCTAAAAATCCTACTTTGTGTTATATTTTTTTCTTTCTTTTATTGAAAACTATAACTTATTGTTCATTGTGATTTTTATTCTAGTATTCTTAGGTGAATGTGAGCTTATATTATGCAGACAGATTACTTTGTGATTTGTTTGGATTCTTCATTGCCTGTTAACTGTATTTCCTCTTTGAGAAAGAATGTACTCAAAATTTTGGGTATGAATCTTGACGGATATTGTAAGAATATACATTATCTTTATATGTTGAACAAATTAATAAGTTTATGAAATTATTAGCATAATAGTTAAGATAATTAATTTAAACCTGATAAATCTCTAAAAAAAACTCTATAAAATAACTTTAAAAAATAGATAAACAAAAACACAACCGCGATACTTATGCAACTAACTGTAAATGAATAGGAAAACAACACAACTTATTTCGTCGGGGTCAACTATGGGTTCCATGTCAGTCTTTTAGCAAACATATTGAAAGATAGATATAATTTTATATAAATAGTGTGTGAGGAGGCCGAATGGTGAAGTATGTTGAGAGAGAGAGACATGTTTGAGACATGTTTCTTAGACGGGGCATATATGGCAATAATAACATGCATACCACTTCTCTCCACTATAATTTCCCAATTGCTTTCCTTCCTTTTTCATAGGTCAGCTTTTCATCTATTATATATATAAATTGTTGCCATTTGACTTTATCTAGATTATGTTTCATATTCATGCATCCCATCATAGAGGTTAGATCATCTGGCTCTAAAAAAAGGGGGTCCCTCTTTCCAAGCAAGAAAGCACTAGCTAGCTCGCCACTTACTGCTTTCATATTCCTTTCTTGTCATTACAAGAAAGCAATTAATATTTACAAGGTGCTCTTCCATGATCAATGGGTGACCTTAATTTCGATTTGTAATGGTTACAAAACATCAAGAGAATGCATTGAACCCTTGTAGAAGGGTCAACATCAAACTTTATATATAAGATCCATACATTGGTTTGGTTGGCACCCCTGTCTAGAATTCGAGTGCACATCATCTTTTCTTCCTGTTTTTTCAACTTCAAATACTGCTTAATCATGTATCCCTCGAAAACAACAGCAACAAATAATTACGATCAGGAATTAATGTATGCTTTTATATTAGAGGATGAATTTTTGAAATTCTAGGAGACGAACTTATGAAATTCTAAGGAGAGTAAAAATATATAATCATAAAAAATACAAAAAAAATATCTAAATATACGATAATTTAAAATTTTCAAGATATGTTTAATCCATCCCTGAGTACGATATAGTCTATTGTAGTAACTTCTACACTAGTTTATACGACGCCTGTATACGTATTAAAAGAGATTTTGGAATGGTATCCTAAATCTTTATGATATCATCATACAAGATATTAGCGGATAATATTGCCTTGAAATATACATATCATATGTAGAAATGGAAGTCCCATGCAATTTTATGGTATATTGTCATCTCCAACCTCTTTAACCTCATGCGGTGCTGTGGGTGGTGGTGGAGAGGAATGGTTAGAATGCCATGTAGCCCAGAAGAGATAATTTATGAAGTTGAGAAAGCTGAGGACTGCAAGCAACCAGTAGAAAAGATCAAGCCGGTCTTTGTTGAGATCATTGTGACTAAGCCAACCGCCGCCATCGGAAGAAGCCGACGTGATCTTGTTTACGACGGAGACGAGCACCGAGCTCAAGTAGAAGCCAAATGAGTAAGAGCAGTAAGTTATGGCTGTCAAAAAGGCTTGCATCCCTTTCATGGACTGCTTGTAGAAGAACTCAATGAGGCCAACCGCGGTAAGCATTTCTGATAACCCAAAGATAAGGAACTGTGGGGTGATCCAAAAGATGGATATTGTTTTCCCCGAATATAAGGCCGAATCCCTTCTCTTCTTCTCCATTAAAGCAGCCGAGATCATCGAAAACGTAGCGAGAAACAGACCGGAGCCTATCCTTTGAAGAGGGGAGATCCCGGATTCGTGTCCGCTGATTTTGGTGGCGAAGGGGACGAAGAATTTGTCGTATAAAGGGACGATGAAGATGAGCATTACGTAAGGAATGGACTGAAGGGAGGCCGGAGGGATGTGGAAAGAGTTGGTTAGTTTAGTGTCCATGGCGCTTCCTTGTTGCACTGAGAATGTTTGGAGCTGGGCCAAGATGGTGTTGAATACAATGGTGCAACCAAATATTGGGATCGCTGAAATCAATATCTTCACGTTCTCCACTTGGTTTGCACTGCATAATCTCCATGGACTCTCCTTTTTGTTGTTATTGCCATCTTCAACTTTGATGCATGCCTTGTCCAAGAACCTACACACCAATTCATGTTTGTTTGTATCTATGCTGACATTGAACCATGCACTCAAAATTCTTTAATTTCTTACCAATTAATTAAACTTTAGGGTAAGTATACAAATGATCCTCCGACTATAGGGAGTTACTTTGTTGAATACCTCGACTATTAAAAGTTATAAAATAGTCATCCGATTATAGGATATTTTTTTTGAGTCTCCCGACTATTAAAACTTACGAAATAGTCATTTGACTCTTCATATGTTTCAAACTCGTCATTTTTTATTAAAAGATGACGATTGTTTGAGCAAAAGTGATTCTAATAGACATCATTAAAATAATTAAAATATGATTTTATGATATCTCAGTCAATAAGTTAATAGACAACTGTCAATCTTTTAACGGAAAAACATGAGTATGGAACATATGAATAGTCAGGTAACCATTTTATAACTTTTAATAGTTAGGGGACTAAACAAAGTAGTGTCCTATAGTCAAGGGATCATTTTGTAGCATTTGGTAGTCGGGAAACTCAACAAAAATACCCTATAATTGGGGACCGTATGTGTACTTTACCCTAAACTTATGTTGGTGTGAAAATCGGATTTATGAAGTTTGGGGTTGTATTAAAAACGACATTTAAGTAAAGGAGTCAGCAAAAGGGATCTAAATTACCTAAACCTCTGGGTGTGAAGCATATTGCTATTAGAATTAGGACTAGATGGACAAATTAGCTTTCTTTAGTACTGCCGCCACTAGAACCTGTAGAAATATACGCAAATGAAAATCAAACATTAATTAATTATGTCTAAAATAGAAAAGGAATTAAGGGAGGGGAAATGAAAGGTGAGATTTGATTACTTGAGCAATGGGGGTGAATATGCTTCCCTGAGGAGGCTTGTTCCTGTAATACACAGTCCCAGAAACCAAGCTGATTAGTCCCATGGCCATTACGGCTGCCGACAGCCCGAATCCGACATCCATGCCGGCATGAGTTTGGATCCAAACAAGAACAGTGAGGGCAATGAGTTCACCATGGAGAAGGCAAAATAGGCTGCATTGAAGTAGGTTGAGAGCTTCTTAGAGTGTGAAGGGGTTTGAACGTTGAACTGATCAGCCCCATGAGCAATCATGTTGGGTTTAACACATCCACTCCCTAATGCCACCAAGTATAGTGCTACAAAGAATATCAAGCCCTTCACCCCCTTTGCTTCTTCACACTTCCCTCCATCAACTACCATGTTGCACTTTGGTGGCTTTAGCTGGGGTACATGAGCTTGGACCGACAGCAATATGAATCCCTACAAATATAAATAACTTTTTTTTAATTAAAAAAGGCCATCATTCGATCCCTATATTTTGTATATATCAGATTCAAGTGGCCTTTCTTTTTATGAAAAGGGGTACAGTGCCTGCCAAACTTCTACTGCAGATGAGCAAGTTAAGCCACTATTATTGAATGGAAAGAGACAGAGAGAGACAAAAAGAGGAATTGAAAAAGAGAGAAAAGAAAAGTGTTAGTGAATACATATAAAGAAGAAAGCTTACTGAAAGCTCGAGAAAACCAAAGATGAGCATGGACCAGAAACTCCCAAGAAAAGAGTCAGAGAGGAAACCACCAAGGAGGGCCAAAAGGAAGATTGTTCCCACAAAATTTGTCACTATGTTTGCTGCGTTTGAGAGGGAGAAATGCATCTCGTTTATCACATATGTGATCAGGTTGTTTCCTACCGCTGCTATTGCCATTATCTCAAATGCTTGAAGCCCTGAAATTCATTATTAAACATAAAATACCATAAACAAGATGTTCAAGCTCAGACGTTAATGGAAAATAGATTGAGAGAGAGAGCGAAACAAACCAAGAACAAATGAAGCAGCTCTGAAGCCGCCATGTTTGTTGGGGTTTGAAGGCTTCCCCCTCCAATCAACTGTGCTTCCTTCTTCCTTAATCTCTACTTTGATGTTCCCTCTTCTTTCTTCCATTTCCAACTTCTCAAGAGGGGGAGATGCTCTTTACTCTTGTCTAATGTGGCTGATCTTGAGGCAATTTATAATAATCCAATGCCCTCCTAGATTCTACGCAAATTGCGGCCTCACTTGAATTTAAGCCCCACACGCACTATCACCTTGTGGATTACACTTTCATGTCATGTCATATGTTATTCAAAATGTTTTTTTTTTTACATATGATGATTATACATACTATTTATTAAAAAATAATCTATTGACAATGTATATACATCCTGAGACTTAAAATCTCTAGAGAAAATAATATTCTCTTTACCATTGAGGTCATAGATGAAATTAGGATCAAATATTAGGAGGAATAAGGTATCTAATTCTAAATAATACTTTTTATTATATTTAATTTAAAAATTGGAGGGACAAAAGTATATTTTCACTTAAATCAAAATTGATAAGGACTTAAAATTCAATTAAACCAAAAGTTTTAGGAGGGGTAACAATCTCTCTCATTCTCTATATAGTTTCGTCCCTACTTAAGGCCACTTGATGGATATATTATCCGAAATATATAATCCAACACTCGCCTTGACTTGTATGTTATTTATTTGGATCCAAGACTTTTATTCCTCAATTTAAATATGTATTCAAAAGTTAATAATTTTTTAATAGTTTAATATTATTAAAGGTGGTATATTAAAAAATTTAACGGTTTATAACATATTTTGTAGATACAATTGCTTGAATCCTAAAACTTTAGAAATAACCCTTTAATCATTGATATTATTTGATGAATTGAAAAAGAATATATTTTTTAAAATATATTTTAAATAAAAATAAAATAAAAAGTCGCTTGTTTTTTTAAAATATCTCTTATATATGAAAAATATTTGTTATTTATAGTTAAAAGAGCGAACAATGGATATTTTTGGGATACTGATGAATCGGCAAGAAAGAGGGGATGTTACTGTTACTCTTGGAAAAGGAGCATTGTATTTGTAGCCAGTTGCCACATGATTTTGCCTTTTATTCCTCTATGTTTGTCATCTGATGGTGGTCCATAATTAATGGATACTTTTATTTCTTATTAAATTGTTTTCTTTTTATCTTTTAAAATCATATATTCCATTTATGAATTAACATGTCAAAAGTAAATATTATACATTTGCATGGTGATCAGCTGTTATAAATATATTTTCTTTTAATATAAAGATTTTTAAAGAATAAAATATATGATTTTAACATAGATGATCGTATTTTATTGAGTTATTGTTTTTAAGAACTAATATTTAATTTGTTCATAATATATAGTTTTATCTATTATCAAATGAACTATATGATGATATATCATCAAATTTTAAAATTAAAATTTTGTTTGATGAACTAAAAAATAAGTACAAAAAAATTAAATGTTGAAAAATTAATTATTTAAGAGTTTAATGTTGAATTTAAATTAAAAACTTGTTTGGTACTTTGTTTAAAAATAAATACTAGACATAATTAAATTATTTTTTAAATATAAAATTTAAAAATAAAATAAAAGGTATTGAAAGTATGTTCCATTAAGTGATAAGTATTTCGTTATCTACTTAACATTTTTCACATTTTTTATAAATATAAAATAAATAATTTTAGTTTTAATTTATCAAGCATGTTCAAACTATTAATTGTTGAAATTATTAATTTGCATTGGACAGAATTTTTTGAATGGTTTATCAAATATGTGCTAAAATTATTTGGATTCACTCTTGATGATATATCATGATCATATTTATTAGTAATAATTAAGTGATTTTTTGCTTTTTGTTCTATTTAGTTTTTAATTACTTTGCTTTCTTGACATGTTTTACTTTGTTTTTTGTGACACATTTTTTTTTACTTTGGCACGTTTTCAGTATTTGTTATCGATCATAGTTTTCGTTTATATTTTTTCTCAAGGTTAGATTTGATATCGTCTCGATAAGTCAAGATAGTGCTCATTTGTTATCATATTGATATTTCATTCTTTGAACATTTGGATTGGATTTGGATACGTGATTTGTGTTTGTGGATTTTTTCTCATGCCGCTCGACTTTGATTTGTTGTATGTCGATGGTCTTTCAATAGTTTCTCTTTCTTTTGGTTCATTTGTCGATACAATCATATCTATTCATATTTATCTTTTGTGCGAGTTTTTTTAATTAAATTTTTAACATATTCTTTGTATGAGCCTTTTGTGATCCTAATTGACTATTTTATTGTATCATTAGTTATAAAAAAATCTTAAATTATAGGTGTATTTTACAGTTATATTATAAACATTTATGAAGCATAATTTTAAATATTTTCTCTATTTAATAAAACTAGCAGCTTTTATAAGAAACGATATACGTGAAACAAAGCCAAATAAGGTAAACTACAGCATAACCATTAAAACAACCACCCCAATACCTAAGAGTAAGTAATGATGTTTTTTTTTTTCTTCTCAAGGCAAACAATTTAATTAATTAACCCAATAGGGTAATATAGAAGTTTATTTACGGGATACAACATTTGCTACAGTGATTTAGAACTCGTCACGTTAAGATGATGAATTCCAATAAAAAATATTTTATTTAAAATTTTTATCTCGATATGATAAAATTCAATAAAAATTATATTTTATTAGAACTCGTCATCTCGATGTGACAAATTTGAATAAAAAATATTATTTGGATGAATTTATCACCTCGACATGATAAATTCCATGAAAATTATAATAAATATTGTATATCCCAAAATAAATTTCTACTTATCCTATTTTTTGAAATAATTTACTCGTTTGACCTATTGTACAAAAAAAACAGTATAGATTCTTTGCAGTTTTTGTCTTAATAACTGAACACTGCTATCTCTTCGTGTATTATTAGGATTAGTGTTTTAAATGCGTGCAAATAAAATCAAAGTCCAATCTTCATTAAGAATTATAAATGTATTATCATTTAAAATATTTGCATTCTATACCAACTATTACCGTTGCATGACATAATAGGTTATATGCAGGGATAGAAATTTCAAAATCATTATATATTTTAAATATTTTTTTTATATTTTTATTGATAACCACTTTGTGCTTTTAGAATTTTATAAATTTATCGTATCTTGAAATTTAAAAAATTTATTCTCTCGTATAAAATTATATATCTATCTCTAATTATATGTACTCTTTATGCTTGTCGTCTTGTTTGCGGGGCAACATCTTGAACTAGTGACGGATCCAAAAATTTAAGAATGAGAATCTAAAATTTTAATATTTTTTTCTTAAAAACAATGTGTATGCAGATTTTTTTTAATTTTTTCTATTTTCCCTTAAAATAGTTTTTTAAATAATTCTGATATACTTGGCCCCTATAGGACTTAGTGCATCTGTCTCTACCCTTAATCCCATTTCAAGACATAACATTCGCCACCTACTTATACAAGTATTTAGGGTGTGTTTGGTTCACGGAATGTAAGATTACCAGTGGTAATAAAATATTATCAGGGAATATGATTACTGGGAATGTTGTATTTTGTGTTTGGTTGGTTTAGCAGGAATGTAAGATTACCGTGTTTGGTTAAAGAAATAAAAGATTATTATAATATATATTTGACCAAATTGTCCTTATTATATATATATATATTTTAACAAGTTGGAAGATAATTATATATTTTCTATAAAAAATTTAAATTCATAAAATTTATATAATTTTTTTTACAAAATTGAAAATATAAAAAGATTTAATGAAAGGGTAAAATTTTATTTTAACCCCTGAACTTCATATAAAATTTTAATTATAGACTTTTTTTGTAAATTTAAAATAGTTTAAGGATAAATTTGTAATTTAACCTTCGTAGAATTTTTATTATTCAATGACAGAATAAGGATATTTTTTTGGGGGAAAATTAAGGGCATTTTAGTCCAAAATGTCGGTAATCCAACAATACCTAAGTAAAGGTAGATAATGACATTCCCGATAATATACCCCAAAAAATCAACTATTGATAATGTAAGATTACCGGAAATGACATTCCCAGCCAACCAAACGGGAGAATGTGAATTACATTCCCATGGGAATCTCACATTCCCCCAACCAAACACACCCTTAAGGATGCTAATTTTGGGCTCGTAATAATTTCTTAAGAAATTGCAATACATTTAAATTCAAGATAGGTGTGTAAAACTTACATCTACAAGTAGTGATTTAAATAGTGATATGTTACTATAATAATACTCAATATATAATGATAGCGATGTCATCTGTAACTATTATTGTGTGATCATAATATTTGTAATCAATGTAATATTGTTCGTTGTGTCTACAATCGCAATAAACGTAATGTAACCGAAAATACGACCATAATTTAAATCCTTAACTACAACTACTACTAGAGAACTTTTAGGAGATCGACTCACAAGAGATATCTTCGAGGAGGCTGAAACAATAGCTTCTTATAACTTATATCCATTAATTTCTCGACATCCGAACAATATAAGAATTAAGAGATGCAAAAGAGGAGACGATCGTTTGTCGGCTAAAAGGTTTTTTACAAAATAAAGAAAGAAAAGAATATTATTAATTAATAATATTATTATTAAATTGGAGTGGGTGACAACAAAGAAAAGAAAACCAAAGTCAAAAGGTTGTCGGTGTCATTAAAACAACATAAAAACAGAAATATGAGACATTTTTATTATTATTTAGTCAGTACTAAATTAATAAATGTGTCTTCCAAAATCCCATACACATCATCACGTCCTATACAAATAAAGAAAAGTATTACTATACACATGGTTAAAAATTTTCTTGTTATTCATTAAAATCTTACGTTCGAATATTATATATATAAAAATATGAATACTATCATCAAATGATTGAAAATAATTAATCCGACTTAAGCTTATGAAAATATTGTGAAGCGTCTAAAGTTCCATTAATGCAATTGAACATTACCCTAATTTCTTAGAAAACACAGCCAACCAACGACTCTAATTATCTCAAAGCACCCCACCCACTAATACAACATGATCCATTTAAGTTACATATGTTGGATTAATTTTTTT